AGACAGAGTAAGAGTGCCAAGGCATTATTATTTACAGCAGCAATCCTGACTCAAAAACAAGTGCGAGAAGCTTGTAAAACCCATTTGAGCAGAGCACAGCAGAAGGGGAAGTCCTGCCCAGGAAGCACCGCTGCAGGGGCATTGGGCTGTCCTGCTGTTTTGTGTAAATGACGATATGAGCTGTGTAAACTAAGCTCATACCCTGTGGCTACTTGAGTTGTGACAACCAGATGGGACCCCGAAGCATTAGGAATTGTGAGGAAAACAAAGCCACTGCCCCAGCCAGGGTCCTCTCCTGCTGGGCTGTCCTCAGTGGCTATTCCTGCCCAAAGGACACTGGCTGTCAGCCTGAGGAAAGAGATCAGAACAGTCTTCCTGGGCAGTGCAGAGGCCAAGGAAGGGCCCCTCTGTGATGCCTGGACATGGTGGAACATCATGGCTTTACACATCAGTGGCTGCCGCCGGGTTTCAAAGGAGCTGTGGCCTGGAACCAGAGATTCGGCTCCTTCCCAACCCTGATGACTCTTCTCTAGGAGGAAATATTGGGCGTATTTAGAACTGGTCTCATCAAGGACACCTTGATACTCCAGGCTGCCAAATCCAAGGGACACACGCTGCCCCAGCCTCTCAGGGCCTCAGAGGGTCCCCTCACGCCGCTCCCTTCCGCTTCCCCAGTGGCCGGCCTTTCTCTGAATCGTTCCTCTGTCTACTCTCCTCTCATCTTGGAGCTCTGAGCTAAGGTACTGTTTGTTGGACGCCGTATTCCACTGTGCTTGCAGGGGCCTCACAGTTAAAATGTCCAGGACAGAACTCTTGCGCCCCTCTCCCCAGCCTGTTCCATCTGCTCTTCTACCTCTCAGTGACGTGTCACCATCTGTGCACTTAGGTGCTTAAGCCAGGAACTTGTGGACTTACAGGGGATATGCAATGAACCTGATAAGCTCAGGGACCAAAAGTAACCACTCAAGATGGTTTGATGGTAAAATCCTAACCGGGGCAGGCCACAGCGGGTAGTCACGCCCCAGGCATGCAGTCTCTTTAGCAAAGGTCAATCTCTACCTTAAGGAGCCCTGTCCACTGTTCTTGTAAATCTAGGATAACATACCTCTGAAATGTCCAAGTAATTTTCTCTCCCGACCCCTCTGGGCACAGCCTCTGCACCAGAGGAGACCAAAGAGCCCTTCACTATTATCTTGTCCCTCTAAGTGCTTGAATGTTAATTACTAGCCACCCTGCACCCACCCGTGTAAAAGAAGTCTGGGTCTCTCGGACCTTAGACATTTCCCGGCTTTGCTTTCTGCGGCCTCTTTAATCTGCCCCCAGTGGATTTCACGTACCTTCTTTACACCTCTCTTTCAAATCTAAACACAGACAGCAGCTGCAAAACTGTTCCCCAGAGCGTCTGCATAGTCCTTTGAGATCTTGCTTCCTGGAAATTGTGGTCAGTTTGCTCAAATAAAGTCAAATATTTTTATAGGTTTGGACAAACTGAATTCACCTTTGAAGACTTCCCTCCCTCCTCTCCCTACACCGTCCGTCCATCCATCCGTCACCCAGAGGCTGTCCTTGGGCAACGGCTGAGTGTCTGGCCACGCGTCTCCACTCCTGACCTCTTCCCTCCATTCCACTTCCCAAAAGGCAGCAAAAATCACCTTCTTATAACATAAGTCACTTCATTCAACATTTATTCACAAAATCTTTTAAACGACTTTTTGAACAGTCCCTGGCCCTGGTGAAACAGCACAAACAAAATATACCTGCCCTCCCACCACCAAAGAAAACCCCTCTGTGACCTAATGGAGTGTGTGTTTGAGGGGAGGCCAGCCAACTGCAAACAAGGCACTTGGATACGTCCTTTTGGATGGCGTCAGGACAGAGGAAAATGCAGCAGGAAGGGCTGGCGGGCGGAACCTTATCAGGGAGGCTGCGAGGAAGTGAGCCTCTATTATCACACAGGTAACAGCAGGATGGAGCGAGGGTTGCAGGGCCCACTGAGTCCCAGCACTGGTCCAGTCATCCCGGTCACTGCAGGAGGTAGACCCTTGGGTGGTTCTGAACAGGGCTGAGGTCACAGGATGCTTTGGCAGCTGCATGAGAAAGGATGGGAAGGCCAAGCAGAAGAGCCATGGTCACTGCATAGACGCAGAGGCAGGTCCTGATGTGGGGGAGAAAGCAGTCAAAGGGGAGGTCCAGGTTTGGGGCCCACGGAGTGACCAATGGGGCTGCCACTGCCTGAAGGGAGCACACTGCTGATGCAGCATCAGAAATCCAGCTGTGTCGCCTTTTAGACATCCACACACTGACAGCGAGCTCCCAGTTTGAGAGGTCTGGGGCACATGGAACTTGGGTGGCCTTCAGTCTGCAAGTTACAGTGTTTGGGATAACTGCTGAATCAATACATGAATGGGTTCTGAGACACCCATCATGGGCTGAGCCGCCCTCCAGACACAGGGGGAGAGGGGCATACATGCGCACATGGCCTGTAGAGTTCAGGCCAAAAGCAAGTAAACAGATGAGATGAAATATGAATCAAATAAGACGGAGTGAGAGGTGAATGGATGGACTCAGGGGCAGGCTGTGAAAGGCCCATAGGTGAACTGGGTATGAAGGGCAGGACGAGTAGTCATGTGAAGGAGGAGGGTTCCAGGACAAGGAAGCACCCAGGTGGGGCAGCTGGTGTGAGGGGAGCAGGCAGAGGCCCAGTGCATGGAGCCATGCCAGCTGTGAACCTGGCAAGTTTACGGCGAGGAACCCAAGGCTCCCTTAAGCCAGGGAATGCCAAGAGGGTCCCTACGGCCGGCGTGAAAGAACGGAGGATGGGACTGGTGGCGGCCAATGAGTAGGCACTTGTTAAGGTGACCACGGCCAGGCAGGGCAATGAGAGGGCTGGGGCATCTTACGAAGGAAGAGGTGACAGGAGTGTTGATGAATTAGACATGGGGAGAGGAAATGGGTGGGTACTGGTGCCAGCTGAGGGTGTCTGGTGGTGGAAACAAGGGGTACACTCTGGGTGTAGTGAGTCTGGGATACAGAATGAATTCAGATGGCCACGTCACATGGGGAGTCAGGTACATAGGCATGGGCTCTGCCCAGGTTGGGACAGCCACAGCGTCACAGTGGGAGGCTGGAGGCCACCTCCGTTTTCCTAACCAAGTCCCAATGTGCCCAGTGCCCACGCCTCCCTGGTCCTATCCCAGACCTGGCCAGTCTGGAAGGTCACCACTGGCTCCAGAATAGACATGGGTCCCACTCTAGTCAGTGAGGTCTGAGTTTACTGGTGGCATTATTCCTAACCGCCACACAGAAATCCCTTCCTCCCGCTGGGGGTTAGTGTGGCTGCCGGCAGCATCCTGCTCCATCTGAAGATGAAGCTGACCCTGAGGTGGCAGGACAGTCCCGGGGGAAATTCTGAGGTTCCTCTTCAGTGACTTAAGTTTTTTTGTTGCTGACCCAAGGGTGGGCCGTGGAATCAACTCTCATTTCAAGGAGGGGTGGTCAGGGTCCTGCATGAGACTGCCCTGGAAGTGCAAACACACAGGAGGGGTGGATGCCTTGGCTGGCCTGCTGGCCCAAAGATAGGAAGCATATGGTGACAGCTGTGCACCCCCTGCCTCCTCCCAAACAGGCCTAGACCAGTGGACGTATACAAGTGCAGCCCCGTCAAACCTATGGCAGCCAATTCCCATGTATGACTGTCATTTTAAGCCAATGACTTTAGGGGCAGTTATGTGGAAATAGCAATGAACATGTCCCCCTATTTGTCCCCAAATCTCCTAGGCCAGTGCTGTACATGGAACATACATGCTCAATAAATAGTCCATTAACTTAAGTATTTATTGAGCAGCTACTATGTCACGAGATACAATGGTGATCCAGATGGGCTTAACTAAGTCTGCTTTCATGAAGCACATTTAATCATCACTGGCAAGTTCACAAAGGATGAGTGAGTGGCAGCTATGGTATCAGCAAGGAAACAGAGCTGTAGGCAGTACAGAACGAGAGCCTAGATGGAGATGCACGTGTTTATGTGGGAACGCTATAAGTCACAAGAGTGGCATCACACATCAGTGGAAAACAATGAACAGGGTATGGGAAAATGGAACCTTCTATGACAAAAAGTAAAGTTGGGCTCTTACTTCAGACCATACGTGCACATACAAATCAATCAATACCAGATGGACTGAAGACATATACATGAATGATTATCTTTATGACTCTGGAGTAGGGAAAGACTTCAAAAACAAGACCAAGATGCTCAAACCATAAAGGAGAAGACTGATAAATTTTACTACATGATAATTAAAAATCGTTAAGATGCTCTAAAATAAAGTTGGTAGAGATTGAGAGAAAATATTTGTAATGTGTATAACAGACAAAGAATAACAAGAACAGATAAAGAATACAAGTCAATAAGAAAACGATAACTTTGTAAAGAAATGAGAAAAGGATATGAAGAGGCAATTCATAGAAAACCAGTCAACTCACAACCAATCGGACCATTGGTTCACTAAAATAACAACATGATGAAAAGCGTCATCCACATCCAGCCTGTTACTAATGCTGGCATCACCATTATTTAGGGATAAGTCAATTACTTTGGTTTTGAGGCTCACCTATGGTCTGAAATTCGCATGTCCCCAATACCAGCTGCAAGTGACTTTATGGAGACATCTCATGAGACATGGACCTTTAACACAAGAGACGAGATCCTGACACAGGGGTGTAGACTTCTGTGGTAACTCTTGGGTGGAGCAGGCGGTTTCGTCAGGAATACTGCTTTTCATGCTTGCTCTGAGGACCTTAAACATCAAGCTGACCAGGAGAACCCTCACACTACGGACAAATCACACGTGTCCCGAGAAGCCTTTGTAATCCACACACAGGTTGGAGGACATCCAATTTCACTCTCATGTACACAACGGGAACAGACAAAAAATTATTTTTAAAAAGGTGCATTCTTGAAGAAAATTTTAATTTAAAAAAAAAATCAAAAGAAAAACTGAACAGTGCCTAAATCTTTATTTTTCATAACCTACATTTTTTCCAAATTTGACAGTTTTACACTGAATGACACAAAAGGAAACTTAAATTACCAATAGTTTACACATAAGTTTGATTCCAGTCTTAATGAAAAGAACAGAACAGAAACAACAGCCCTCGAGAAAGCGTGCACGCCACACCCCGTGCTGTGAACTGGCAGCTGCCAGCTCTCCCTCTCCCTCAGTCTTCGATTGTCTGCTGCTCTGTGACCCTGCCCACAGCTCACACCTTCCTCAGCTGCCGGCCTCGGGACAAACGGACTACAGCTGGTGGCAGCCAGCGATGCGACTATAGGAGGGCCTGATCACAAACATCATGACACTAAGTCTTAAAAAGCAACTATGCTACCTGCAACTCATGTCTGGAGAAACGGGGCCAGATTCCTACATTTCCAAACAGTAAGCATCGTCACACAGTTGTACATGTTAAAATGGCATTTGTGACTGCTGTATCTGATTCTACACCTCGAAGGACTGCTGGGGGAAAGGAAAGAGTGACATTTAAAAAAATGTACAAAAGCCACATACTACTGCTGCGTGTGACAGAGCTGCCATCTGTGTCACCGCTTCCTGTTGTGCCAACTCCCATTCTTTTCTGTGAATGGAAAATCTCAAAGTAGTATCAGAAAGGTGGTTTTTTGGACATTATACAGCTATTTGGCATATCCCCTTTGCTTAATTAAAAAGGACACTGTAAAACTCACGCCAGGGCAAGGTTCTGGATGCCAGGCTGGGGCTGCAGGAGCCATCAGGAACCACCTGGTTCCACCTGCAACTGCAGCGGGAGCTCCAGCTGCCCAGCATGCCCCCGCCTGAGGGAAAGAGCTTTGTCCTTCAGTGGTTCAGGGTGACAGCGGAGACTCTGTCCACTCCCCCCACCAGCAAAGGCTGCGGCCCTAAGGAGCTCCTAGACTCAGAGCGCATCTCTCCCACTCTTTACAGTGCTCGCTAGTTTGGGTGCGAGAGGCGCTTGTTTCTGCTTTTTGTCAGCTGTCTCCACGCGCACACTCCTTTCGCAAGCTTTTACGGACCGTAGCGCTATGTGCACTTGGAGGTGAGCACAAGGCTGCGCTGGGGCGAGCCCTCCCCGCAGGGTGACTTTCAGTAGTAGGTTATTTCTCACTTCCCCTGAGGATCCTGCCAGTTCCTGCCTTCCACTATATTCCAAGCACCCCTCACACCAGCTCTGATTAGCACATATTTACATACTTGAAGGAAGAGCGTGAACACATAGGAGGCTTTCACGAGACTGTCCCCCTTTGCAGCGGCAAAGAGGCAGAATCAGTTCAACACACCAGTTTAAAAGGGAAAAAAAACCCCAACAAATTAAAATGATATTCAAACCACAACATTTAGTTTATCTACATTCAGGTCAATAGCAACATTTATAATATATCGATAATTTTTATCAGATTTTCTCTTTAGGGTACCTTTAATATGTTCTCAGTATTTACAACTGTACAAGCGAAGCACACTCTCCCAAGTGCACACATTTAACAGCATCGACCATCTGCATCCCAGGATTTCCAACAATCTGAGAAAAGATCAGCTGTGTGAGATCGTCAGCTGTACTGCAAGCACGCTGCTAGTTCTCGGGCGCCCGAGGAACTGTGACCCACTCACGCCAACCCAGGGCCGGTCTCCAGAACTCTACGCTGTCTTATACAAAAGTTAAGGCAAAGTCATTTTCAAGTTTAAATAAAATTCAAGTCTTTAAATATTGGATGGAAATAAATTTTTTAAAAAAACCCTCAGTCTTGTTAAATAACATTTTGTGGAATAAACTGTATGGTTACATGTAGCAGGAAATATCCTTATTTTAATGGCTGCTGCTTATTACACTCAAAGGAGAAATTTAGGCATTTTAAAAGAAAATAATTTATATTTACCTTTATCACAAACCGCTAGCTTTAGTGCAGGCGAGTTCAGAGTGCAGCACTTCCAGGAGGGGCCGCCGAGACCCTGGTCTTGGAGGTAAGGAGTGGGAATTCTCATCCCCCCCCACCACAGGGCACCCAAATCATTCTCCCAAGGTCGGGGTGTCCGCTCCGCTCTACTGCCGACGCAGAGCGCAGAGTTTCGGGAAGGCGCCCATGGGAGCCGGCTAACACAGGGGAGACGCAGGAGCGGGGCAGGACCCCAGCTTTCCCGCCAGCTCACGGAGCAAGACAACACCAGGGTACAATTTTGCGGTCACATGTCAGTGGACAACACAGTTTATGTTCTCATTTAAGTTCTATTCACAATGTGCTTTGAATTTATCTTACATAATAGCCACTTGAGACTGGAGTGAGGAGCTGGTTACTCGCTTGCAGTGCATCAAAACAAGGTTTCAGGCTCTCGCGGGGCTCTCTGCCCAGTAGATCAAAGGCGGCTGCGCTCTTTACAAAAAGCTCCCGTCACTTGCTGTGATTCTGAATGACAGTACACGTCCTGGGCCAGTGTGTGCCTGATTCTGACCTGTCCCTCCTCCAGGCTACACCCTACAGCATCACCTCATGCCCTCAACCTACTATCCTCAGCCTCGCCCGTCGGTCTGGACATCCTTAGAGATATGCACTTGCTAACCAGTTATTTTAAAAAATGAAGTAGCACACTTCCGCTTAATTTAGAAAAACTCACTATTTATAGCTTGCATTCATAACCACATGGAGGCATAATAAAAAATATCAATTTGTCAGGATAAATGCATTTTCTATCCTGAAAAAAAATCAGACTTATGCATCACCTCCAGTTAAAAGCACCAACCTAAAATAAGGTTTATATTAATTAAATCCTGAAAAATAGATTTTTTTCCAAGGGGGGGGGGAATCCGACTCATAGAAGAAGTGACTTGCAGGCATCTCACAGCCTCGTCTACACTGCAAGCTCCTAACCAGCGGCTCATTCTCGGTGCCGAGTGGGACAGTGCTCAGTTGTGACGACCTCAGCTCCTCGCAGCTCCCAGACCTGGGCGCTCACTGCGGGGACCTGGGCGGCGTGCTCTGTTCTCTGTGCAGACGCTTCCCCACGGCTGGGCCCAGCGGCCTCCTCTGGTCTCTGGGTGGCCCCGGGCTGGCCTTGGGGGCGGGGGGCTCTTTCTCGGCGAGCTGCTTCTCTCCCTTCCCACAACCGACAGCGTTTGGCTTTTGTTCTTTTGGGGGCTGCAATGGGGAAGATGGAGGTTCTCTACTGGTCCTCTGGCAAATCTCCGCATAGCTGGGTTTTCGCAGTTCCTGGAAAAGACACAGGTTTGGGATTACACGCACAAACGCAACGTCCCAGTACCAACAGGCAAAAATACCATTATCTTACAGTAAAGGCAAAACACATTTCCAGCTGTAACCAAAATTCCGCGTTCAGAAGTATTTTTTTTTTTTTTTTTTTTTTAGCTGAGCCATCCTGCTACCTGTTGGCAGCTCTCTGCTCAGCTCGGGCTGGACTCGAACCGCTGTTGCTCAGAGCTCAAACTCTTGAGCGAGCTCTTAACCAACTGAGCCACTCAGCCGGCCCCCAGAAGTATTTTTAAATACTTCATCAATTTCAACAACGCAGTTTCCCCTGCAGCACAACTTCCCTCCCAAGAAACTCTAGACAGATCTTGTAAACAGAGGTTAGACCAGGAGACGCACTGGTGTGTGGAGTGCTGACCGACCTCCTCGAAACCTGAAGTGTCCGAGCCCCATGGAGGCCACAGGGATGCCTGAGGAGGCCCAAGTCCCAAAAGGGAGCCTGGAGCAACATGGCCTGCAGCCTGGCCCAGCCATCGCTGATAAGCAAAGTTGAAAAGGCCTTTCAGAAACTTTTCACTCATTTCAAACTACAGAGGGCTTGAAAAGGTTCAGGAAAGAAAGACAGAGTTAAAAACTTTGAAAACAAGTTAACAGTGTTTTCAGGTAACTGGAGGTACGATGGCTAAGTGACAGAAGGGAACAATTAAAACTATTTGACTTCCATAAACCATTTGGTAACTTAAAAGTAATTTTAACCTAAAATAATTTTTCTTTAAGAATTCAACCAGTGGACAGTGAAGCGTTTAACTTCCCAATTTAAATGACAAAAGTTCACACAAGATCAATGAGAGAACACAACAAATCAGAATGAAACAGGCTGGGTCCCGCCAGGGGAGGGAGTGACAGAGCGTGCTCAGTGAGCACAGGTCGTTTGGGGAACAGGAGCTGAAGTCTTGTGACTACTCAAAAGGACAACCTCGCTCGACTGACACGGAGAGCCCAAGGCTGTGGTGGCAGGAGTGACTGGGCACTGACAGAATCACTAAGATGCCTAGGTGCCTGGCACAGCACGTGCAAATGCCTGCCCCGCGGCTGGCCCAAGGAGAGCCATTTCCTCCCGCCCAGCACCTGGTACCTACCGGAGTGACACCATTCACCTGCACCGATTTACTCGCGGTGGTAGTCGGGGCGGAAGGGAGTCTGTCTGCACTCGGAGCTTCCCTCGGCTTCTCCACCACCTTGGGGTCCCTGTGAGAAGGCCACCAACATGTGAGTCTCCCACTCGACAGCAATCCCAGAGGGTCAGGAGGCAGCAGCAGGACAGGTACTTACTCAGGCAGGTGGGCAGGGGAAGGGGCACGCTCATGGGCAGCCGACAGGGTGCAGGGGGCCGGTCCTGGAGGCTCCCTGGGGGTCACTGAGGGAAGAGTGCTCACGCCAGCATCCGTGCTGAGGCTCTGAAAACCATTGGAGTCACAGTTTATGGTTGGGAAGAGACGTGTGTATCACACCTGTCACTATGACCTACAACATGCCAACAAGGGTACCAGCCTGACTGGTGTGGACGGCTGGCTGCCCATGCTCCTCCACAGGCCCTGGGGCGCTGAGCGGGCAGAATGCGAGCACGCTGCCAAGAAACAGGGCCCAGGTCTGTCCTCCCTGCAATCATGGCTGTGGGCCCGCTTCTATGTTCCCATCCTATTATCTGCAAGCTGCTTTTCCCAAATGAACAACTATCAAAACCATTTATTCACCCGACACCCACACCAGTGCCTCGCATGGCCTGGCACATAGCGGACACGCAGATATCTGTTTAAATGTGGAATTCCACACAATCAGTGAAAGCCAGAACACCGACACCTCCAAACGGTCAAAGTTAGGACTGTCTTGAGGTGGGTGGCAGGTGCTGACAGCTGTCCCCATCTTAATTTACACACAACCCCTGGAAGCGACACGTTACCTCTCCCAATTCCATAGGGGAGGAAACTGAGCTCAGAATGTTTAAGTTAATCACGTGCAGCCACAAGGCAAAGACCTGACACCAGACGTCCCCACTCCAGCCACTGACCCCCCGTGCAGTGACAACTCATGCACGCACCGTCTTCTTCATGATGTGTAATTAACAAAAATGGCAGGAAAGAAAATAATTAAAAGTGAGACTGAGTACAAAAAGACAACATTTTCCTAAAATTTTACTTTTCAAAGCAGGCCAATAGTTCAGAAGTGAACTGAATGGAGAGCGGCTGGAGGAGAACAGCACCACCTACAGCCCTTGGGGGAGACACCTCCTCGGCCGGAACCCGTGCAGGCCGCCCCGAGGGGCAGCACCTACACGAGTTCCTGCTCTAGGTGGTGGGAACGTGCTTGTGGGCCAGCAGCTGGCAGGCCAGGGGCCCCAGGGCACTGCAGAGTCGCCTTCCTGTCCCCGGCAGCCCTGCAGAAGCTGCTGCATGTGCCCCACCAAGAAGCAGGGATGCAGGCGAGGACCTGGCCATGGAACCAGGCTGACTTTGAAGAGTAGCAATTCTTCCTCCGAGAGAAATTTTACAGACACCGACAATATAAAAAACAGTAGTTGCTGTTTTAAAGAGGACGGAGGCCAGCTTGTTCTGCCCATCACTGGGGGGGAGTAAAGTCAGTCTGAAAACTACAATTCATGATCTTTAAAATGCACTGCCTCTCCCACATCACTCTATGAGGCACTTATAACTCAGTGATCAGAAATCAGTGCACCAGACATGCCGAATTTAATGTGCGACTGTTATAACCTTGCGGGTTACAAAAAGGAGCAGTAAGCACAGACAGCATGATGGGGCCTTTATAAAGCCCATGTGAGCCCTGACCAAGGGCCCTGAGTGCCAAGTCTGGGTGTGGCCCTCCCCAGTCCAGAGGCTGGAGGTTCATTCCTAGCAACTGGGGGTGGCAGCGGTGGATTTCCACTAGAAAAAGACACAGGGATTACTGTTGGTGGCAGCACACAGCCCTGCGTATCATAGTAACTGCAGCAGACCCCAGAAGGAGCACTGGCAACCAAGCCTGGGACTTCGCAGGAATTATAATCACACAGAGGAGTGAGGGCAGCTAGTCTGACAGCCTAGAGAGTCCACCAAAAGCCACTGGTACCATAGTAAAGTTATTCCAGGCTTTTATGTTACTTCCGGTATAATTCAGATTTCTGTTTTAATCTTCTGACTCATTAAATAAAAGTAGGTCCCAAATAGCAAAAATAAAAATGCAACCTGAGTTTCTGGGTGAGAAACTGTCTGCACTGCTCACCATGACCCAGGTCTGTCCCTCTGACCTTGTCAGACAGGGAACGAAGAGACTACAGCCTGGATTCAACTCAAAGTGTGTGTGGCCTTCGCAACTCACTTACCCTCTGAACCGCTTCCATGTGTGGAAAAAACCACATGTGCAAAGAGCTCAGCCAGGCACCGGCAGGAAATCGGCGCCCAGTGATGTTAGTGACCACAGCGTGTGACATGTGTCTTACCCTTTCTTTTGACGAGCCTACTAGCAAGCTAGACAGCCTGTTCTCAAACAAGTCGTCGGCCTTCAAGAGGCCCGCTGCCCCAGGCAGCGGGGGAAAGTTGGAGAGCCCCAACTCGAAGCTCGGGGATGGAGGCTTTGGTGGCGTCGGAGACTGAGTCTGACTCCTCTGAAAGAGAATAACACCACAAAGTTGCACAAGTGCTGGCACTATGGTGCTAAGACACACAGCGGAGAGCAAAGCAGTAATCTGTTCGCTAATCTGGTTTCCGCATCTGTCTAAAAGAAAGAACAGGTAATCCAACCACACCAACACTTCACCACCTAATCAGAGGTCCCTGGGGAGGCAACTTCCACCACTGAGAGCTGGGCCCCCCCACACTGTGAAGCTGCACCCTCACGGCTGCTGCTGGACATCGTCACACATGCCGTGTGCACCTGTTTCCCTACAACCATTCAGCCCACATGGGCCGGGTAGGCCGCAGTATGCAGCTGAGAACAGCAAGGGGATAGGCACAGGCAAGGAAGGCGCTGCAGAACAACTGGCCCCCATTGTCAAAACTTGAGAGTAGCCCGAGTCTAGATATTAACCTGTTCATGTCCAGACAAGTTTCGTGGTACCACAGAATATTTGTAATCTATGAGTTGTGACCAAAAAATACGGTAAATGTTTAAATTTTAAAAAGTTATTACAGTGAAAGGCACATTTGCCATTAATACCCCTCAAAATACTCCCCTGTGCTTTGAACACACTTATCCCATTGTTCTTGCCACTTTCCGAAGCAGCTCTGGAAGTTCTCTTTCATGTCTTTAGTTGCACTGTCATGGCTGCCTCGATGCCCTGAATTGCTTCAAAACATTTACCCTTCATGGTCATTTTGACTTTGGGGAAGAGCCAGAAGTCACACGGTGCCAGATCAGGTGAACAAAATGGATGAGGACACACTGTAATGTTTTTATTTGACAGAAGTTGCCGTATACCAGAAGCAATGTGTGACCCCAGAGCCTTTCTGTCGTGATCACAAAATACTGTGAATGCCGCTGCCTAGTGCCGTCCAACAGAAAGGCAGGAATCTTCAATACGGGAAGTGGCGCATCAAACCTTAGTAACAGTATGTGACAAGTTTCAACTTGTTTGGTGCAGTCAATCAGGTGTGAGCTACGGTTGAGAGAAGGTGTATTTTATTAAAGTGTGCTGTAAACCATCTCCATCACGACAACACTCAGTGTTACACATCGCTTCTGGTATGGCAATTTCTGTCAAATAAAGACATTACGGTGCCGGCCAAGTGGCGCGTTGGTTGAGTTGGCTTGGGTGGCCAAGTGGTGTGCTGGTTAAGTGTTGGCTTGGGATGTCAGCTCTAAGCAGCAGGGCCCCGGTTCGGATCCCACATGGGCCAGTGACGCTGTGTCCTCTACAGCTAAGATGGCGAACAACAGCGCGACTTGGAGCTGGGCTGCCGTGAGTTGCCGGCAACGGCGTGGGCTGCAGTGGGGCTGGCCGGCAGCTGGCGTGTGCTTTCGTGAGCCACCATCCAGTGGCCGGCGACTGATCTGCCTCACCCAGGAAGAGCTCAATGATAATACCAACAAGGGCCAATGAAGCGATGTCCTCCACAACTAGACTAAAGAACAAAAGGATAGCAACTTGCCTGTCCCCCATCCCCCAATTCCCTTGGGGAAAAAAACAAACTTTACAGTGTGACTTCATCCACCTTATTCACCAGATCTGGCACCATGCGACTTCTGGCTCTTCCCCAAAGTCAAAATGATTCAGGACATCAAGGCAGCCAAAACAGCGCAACTAAAGACACTCATGAAAGAGGACTTCCAGAACTGCTTCAGAAAGTGCCAAGAACAATGGGATAAGTGTGTTCGAAGTGAGGGGCGGGTATTTTGAGGGGTATTAATGGCGATGTGTCTTTTACTGTATTAAATTTTTTTTTTAGTTTAAACATTCACTGCATTGTTTGATCACACCTTGTAAAGAAATACAAGCCACATAAGTCCACTTTGGAAACACTTTATATTTTTAATCACTGTGTAAAAAAATGGTATTACATAAGAGATTATCACACTCCCTACTTCAAGAAGGTAAACTCTGCAGAACAACATCTGAGTGTAAACCATAAGCCCAAGATCTCAGGAGAAGGGCAGTGATACAGTAATTTTGCTGGAAAACTATATTCACCCTGCTTCAATAAGCCAGAAATCATTCTGTAGGTGTCCAGTTCCCTGGCTGAAGGAGACAAGGAACAGGGAGAGGAAATGAGTTTGTCCTGAGGTGGAACACAGGTATTTTTGTTGAATGCTGGCCACTCCGACTAGATGCAACGCTCTCATGGGGCTCACTTAAGTTGGAAGGGCTGATACTTCCCAGAAACTTCCACCTACATCTGCAGAAGCAGAACCCAGAGAAGGTCTGTTAGAAGCGAGGTGAGGGCCGGCCGAGTGGCGCAGTGGTTAAGAGCTGGCTTGGGACGCCAGAGGGCCCCGGTTCGGATCCCACATATGAGGGCCAGTGACACTGCCCTCCACAGCTAAGATGCTGAACAATAGCTCAACCTGGAGCTGGGCTGCTGTGAGTCACTGGCGACGGCGTATGCTGCAGCCCCTGCTGCAGTGGGTTGCCATGGGCTACCGTATGTAGCCAGCAGCCAGCGTGAGCGGCCAGCAGCCGCAGTGAGCGGCCGTCCAGAAGCCGGCAACTGATCTGCCTCGCCTGGGAAGAGCGCAATGATGGTGCCAACTTGGGAGAGTGAAGCCATGTCCTCCACAACTAGACTGAAGAACGAAACGACAGCAACTTGTCTGTTCCCCTTCCCCCAATTCCCCAGCGCTGTTCCCAGCCCCTAATTCCCCAATTAAAAAAATCTAAAAATCTAAAAAAAAAAAAAAAAAAGAAGTGAGGTGAGAACAGACTGGGGATGACATGGTGCGAGGCATCCACGCCACATCTCCTCTGGGTACCTGCCAGCCCGTCCTTCATTCTGGGCATGTACCTGAGTCGAGCTTGCTCTGCTCAGCACCAGTCTCGGGACAAAGCCTGCATTATCCAGCATTGGCTGTGGGGTGCTGTCACCCAGCCATGCTCCAGGTCATGCATGCACACCATGCAATTTCCAGAAGCTTTACTGTAACCATCTGCACATTTCTTACAATAGGTGAATTCAGCTTTTCAGAGCATTTCTAAGGAGAAAGACTTCACAAAAATTTACTAAATCTCAATATTTAGGAACAAAAACCAACTGCCTAGATATGGTAGTTACAAAATGACAGTGTCGACAGATGAGGTTTGATCGTTTTTTGTGTATTTTTCTTTTTTTTTTTAACATGTTTTTTCACGATGAGGTCTGATGTTAACATTTTAAGATGTGACGGGCTTTAGGTGGGCTGGGTAAGCTGCCCCTAGTACTACAGGCTTTGTGGGGCCGATGCCCACATTTGTCACCATTTGTGCATTTCTGAAGTCACGAGAATATCCCAGAGCAACAGGTGCACTCTCTTTACTAACTAGAACCGCATCATGTGCCTGAGCTTCTAGATGGTTCCCAGGTAATCAGGAACACAAAGCAAAATGAACAGAAACGGCAATGGGGAAAAAAATGTCATCTTTGAAGGTGACATGGTGACCAATGGGAGTAATTCACATAAGGTAACTAGTATCTAAAGAGAGATTCAGATGACAGTCTTGTTAGGCCAAACATTACAGGAACTCATTAATTCCAACTGGACTCAGCCGACAGGAACTGCCTCACCAAAGGGTACCCCAAGAACTAGACTAGGCTGACCAGTAAGGCAGAATTATGGGTGTCTGTTCACTGCTAATGTGTGTTTTCTTGGACCAACAAAGAAAATGCATCTCCCGCAACAAGACAGCACTTGATGTCTCAGGGGGTTGAACCGAGGGTTTTCCCAAGGTCTTCCCTGCCTCCCAGTGTGGAATGCATGCCATACCTGCCACTGCAGGAAACACCCTTCATTCTACTACATCTCCTGCATAAGCTAACTCTGCCGGGGAACTCTGAGTGGAAACACCTCGTGTCTTGCTCACCAAGCCCAGCAGAAGCACTGCGCAGAGGAGGAAGTGCCATCCCCACGCAGACGGTCCGCCTCATGCACCTACACCACACAGACCCACAAGTTATGCAGAGGCAACAACGCTTTCTGCACAGTGAAGAGCTACTTCCTAAAGGGGACAAGTTTATGCTGCCATCAAACCTAGTGGGCCACACAGAGGACTCCCGTGCCCACCTGCACACAGACAACAGTATAGTGTGCTCTCTGCTGTACCTATTGCACAGCACATGTGTGTAGCACAGAGTGACACTCAGGAAACTAGCCATCACCTCCTCCCCTTCAGAGCAGCAGAAACATCACCTGTCACGTAATGGATATCACGTTAAAAGAAAACCTCTTTTGAAATACTCACTACCTCTGAACTTTATTCGTGTAATTATATCTCATGTTTGCTTAATAGAAATTAGATTTAAATGTGTTGTAAAAATGACACAGGCTTGATGTACTCACTGTAAACTTCTCCTCCCTTTTCTTCCGGTAACCAAATGAATTTTTCCTGGAAGAGAGGAAAGCCAAAGCCTGTTAATTTTTTCCCACTTTAAACATTTTTCATTGAACTCATGTAAGGTAAAAGCACAACATTCAATCTTTATGGCTTTGTAATCTTTTACAGATGACTTTTGGTTCTCAAATTCCAGCCTTAAGAAGTATAAGCAAAACAAATTTTATAGCAAAAGACTAAAACTGATGTTTAGATAGGTAGATAAAAATAGAAAAACACACAAAAAGGGAAAACACACATGTGAAAGAATTCTCCTAGTGGCTATTTAGAATTTTTGCTACATCAATACTTGAACTCTGTTCAGTGGAATGATGGAATGTGTAAAACCTGACACTGAACCACACAGGTGAGCTGGTAGAGAGAGGTAATGAAATCAGTCAGATTTACTGTCCAAATACAAAGGCCCCAGTAGCCTGGTTGACCTTCACCACCCCTGCAGCCCTTAGACTTCCAAGACAATGGCCTGCCCATGACCAATAAACACACAAGCATTTCTAACCCTCAACCACTGTGCCTGCCTGGCTGTTGGCTGCCAGCATAGCATTCTGGGACCTGCAGGCAGCAGGGCTGGGCTACACACTACAGCACGCAACAGCGGCACCCATGGAGGGCCTTGAGGACACTAAGACATTTGCCCTGTCCCATATGGGATACATGGCCAAACAACTTACGTACTGTTCCAATTTATAATTTCATTTTTATTTACTTGTCCCTTTGTCACTTCACCTGAATGGAGAGGCTTCTTGGGGGCCTTATACTATCTAAGCTGGAAATGAGTTCAGAAATAATCTTAGCAGATTCCTTGATTCCTTTGTTTATAAAAAATCTACAGGCAGTCTTGCTCAAGATGGCATAACTAACTGGAATGAGCTTAGAGCCCTCGACCGTGTGCAGAGCATGACACCCCCCAGGAGAAGCAGAGCAAACCTCTAGGACTCTGCGACAAAGCCACACCCTCCACTGTAGAATCAATTCCAGACATAGCTTCTGGCTTTCAACTGGCTCCTAGCAGAGATGAAACACCCGACTACAGACATCTGTGACCATGGACTTGAGCTGCCCGTCATGAATGGGGCACTGAGCCACGGAGACGGGCGGACACAAGTCCCAGCCCCAGCAGAAGCAGCACATCAGGGCCGGGCCTCACAATCCCTGCATCACCCCCTTGCTTTCCATCCACACCTGTGGCCTCGTGGAAGAGCTCTTAGCACACCGATCAGGGGAGTTCCAGACCTGGATTCCCAATGGCCATGAAGTGCACCTGCCTCACTGTCACACCCATCAGGAGCGCCCCTGAAAGCCAGTGTGCAGGGCCAGGACTTCAAGCAACATATTTGCTGTCCACTGTCTGGACATATGCTGGACAAAATATGAATTTATACTGGTTCTCAAGCAGGGGGGCTGAGGATATGGTTGGACAGAGCCCCACAAATACCAGGACTTTAAAGTCTGGTGACAGGAGTCCTTGGGGCAGAGGAGGGGGGAGGCGGCACAGGGCTTATGGAAGGGATAATGTGAGGCCTCTGTGTTGAAGCCATCCATGTTAGAGAGACCCCTGGCAGCCTGGAGAAAAGTGGCATCCAGCCTCTTCCCTGTTGTTACTCCAGGTGTGCAGCAGTCCCACTAGGGCCCCCAATGCTGAGGCTAGCCTCTTTATCAACCCCTTAGAGCCCAGCCTGGCCTAGGGTGCCAGATCTATCATGGCCTGGCAGCACCACTGTGCTGCCTTCAACCCCCAGATCCCGTGCAGCGCTGTTTAGACCCAGGGGTCCATCCCTCCACAGCGGAAGTACCGTGTGTCCCCCCAAGGAGCAGACTGGCCGAGCGGAGGCTCAGCTGCAAGGCAGGGCCAGCAGCCCTCACAGGACGACCCCGACATGGGACATGGCACGCATGCCCAGGCCCCAGGGCACCACAGTATCCCTGCAGCACAACTCTGAATTCCACTGCTTTGGCGGACCTGGTCTCCAGAGCTGAATGCTTTCACCAGGTGGCAAAACTGCCACAGTCGTCACTCAGCTGGATTCCTCCTGCTACTGAACCTGGCTGGGTGACTGCTGCCAGAGGGTCGGGGAACCAAGCATGCGCCGAGGGGTTTCTTGGGGTGTATCATGTTGTTCCTTACACACAGTGGACAAAGTCAATGGAGGACAAAACAATCTATAAAAGGGGGTGCTGGTGGGGACACAGCCACTGGGGTCCAGGTCCTTTAGCATTACCGTCCGGCTGAAGAGGTATGAGCGCCCAACACCTTGTCTGGAGACAAAGGACAAGTGAGCGACGAGGAAGGGGGCAGCTGTGAGTACAACCAGCTCCCAGACCAGCCTCTCCTGAGCTCTGTGCACACGGGTCTATCCTGATGTCTCATGGGTGATGGCCGTAGTCCTCAGGGACAGACTATTTAGGTGGGAGTCTCCATTGCTGGGCAAAGGCATGGATTCATCACTGCTGTCGTTGGGACGTTCAAATGCTATGGATTATACGTGTCTGCGTGGCCTGGGGTGGGCCGCGCTGGCCAGCCCCATGCTCCCTGCTTCACACGGACCCTTTACCTATGTGACGCTGGCAGGTGTCCCCAGTTCCTGTGTTTGCATTGCCAGGACATTTCCTGTTCAGCTTTCCCAATAGGAAGTGCTTGCGGTGGGGGTAAACCTGTCTTCATGATGCTTTTCTGTGCTGTTCCTTTAGCAGTGTGACAAGCGTGGCCCTTCCTTAAGTCTGGCCTCAGTTCCATAGGCCCTGCTCCAAGCCTCTTGGCCTGACAACCCCAAACTCTCCTGGTGTTCCCCGGCCCCATGGGTGGCAGTTGCCTCCCGAAGTCACTGCCTTTGCATTTCCTGTGTCCCCCTTAGCCTTCAGCCCTCCAATGCCTGTCGAGCCAACTGTGTATCAAATCTCCTGATGCCATGCAGGCCCATGCCAGCCCCGCAGCGAGAATGTTGCCCTCAGCCATGCTGATCCTATCTTGCACCCTTCAAGGCCGGGCTTGTGGACTAACACCACCGAGTCCCACGGACTGCTTCTGGGCCCTCCACACCCCCAGCTGCACATACTGTGCCAGGAAGAAAGGGGCTCCAACATCAACGGAGCCCTCGTCAGTCACTGTGCTGCACACTGTGTGTAGAGCGCCTAGAAATGAGTTCACCCAAAGTTTTCCAAGTGGGTTTTTCTAACAAAAAGCTTAGGCAGATTGAGCTAGTTATCTGCCACAGGGATTTGCCTCCTGACAGCCCGCAACGAATGAACCACTGAGAGAACGAACTGGGTAAAGCCGGCTTCAACATGCCAAGCCCAGGAAGGAGAGCAGCGACTAAATGCAGCCCCAGGACCCAGTTTCACCTCTGTAACCTCGCCTCTCTGCCGGAGTATAAGTGGCAGAAGGCAGGACAGACAGCAGCAGCAAAGGCAAGGGGGCAGGTAATGACCACGGAACACTGTGGGACCAAGGGTGCTACACTGAACACCCGGGGAAGTAAGTCTCCCCTAAACGTGACCAACAGGCACCATTTAATGACTGCTTTCGTTTACAACTATAGGACTAATGGAATTTAAACTCCTTTGCCTGGGTACACAGTCATTATCCACCTACTGTGTGACCCTGCTGGCTGGCAAAGTAGCGAGGCTGGGACAGAGCACGGGGGCTGCAGAGCAGGTGTGGGTGGGGGAGTGGGGGTGAGCAGGGGAGGGGGCGTGTGGGCCAAGGGTTCACAGACTGCACAGTCTGGTATCTTTCCAGCTTGAAATTCTCCACAAATAACGACTGAGACCCAACACTGTGCTACTCCATCTACACCTGTCATTCAACAATTTTATATTACAACAAAGATGACACCAGTTAGGTCTCTGTTTTAAAAGTAACCCCTCTGGGATCATATCTCAACACAATAAAAGCCATATATGATAAACCCACAGCTAACATCATACTCAATGGGGAAAAGCTAAAACCATTCCCCTTAAGATCAGGAACAATACAAGGCTGTCCACTTTCTCCACTTTTATTCAACATAGTTCTGGAGGGGAAGGGACGAGACAACATAAATTGGTAACTTCAATACTGCCACAGGGATAGGAGAGACAATTTGAGGAATATAATCAATAATGCTGTAAATATTTTTTTAGGGGGCCAGATGGACTCATGTCTTGTTAGGGAGACCATTTCATGGACGGTGTAGAGGCCTGACCACCGCACTGTACATCTGAAGCTGCCGTTGAATAATATTATATGTCAACTATAACTTAATACATACATAGTCACGGGATGTAGAGTACAGTGTGGGAAGTAGAGTCAATGGAATTGTGATAGATATGGATGATATTGGGGGGTGGAGGGGTGGTGGATTGGGGGAGGGGGGTTGTCATTTTGTGAGGGGTAAAAAGCATAAACTATTTCATTGTTTTATACACCTGAAACTAATAATAAATTAAAAATAAATAAATAAATAATAAAAGTAGCCCCTCTGAGTAATTACCTGGGGTGCCAAAAAAAATGTGTACACATGACTTGTATTCATCTTTTGCTATCAGTATACATTAACTATTACAATTTTAGTACAGTTTTTTCCTTTCTTAAAACGTATATACATTTTTTTGTACCCTCTGTATATAAAACCTTTGATGGTCATAGCTTTCAATTTGAATTTCTGTCATGTATTTGAAAATAATGCTTATAGAACATATCTAAATTAATGAAATTTGAAAATATTAATACGTAGTTTATAAGCACCTAGGACCCGTCCAACCCAAGTTCTGAGTGACTCACCTGCCTCTGCCTAAGCCGGGGGAGGACTCGAGGCTGCCCTGCTCCACCCGCGGGACCCCAGCGTCTCTCTTGGCATAGGACGGAGAATTCTGTACACGGGCCCTGGGTTGGCCTGTCTGCCTCGTTTGTGGGCTCCGGACACCGTTCATCAAGCGATCCGCAGTGAAGTTAAATATGGAAGGGCTTTCTAACAGCCCAGGCCCTCTGTCCGCACTGGGAATGGCATGGCGCAGGTGGGATTTACCAGGATTTCTGCAAATCAGATGTCTGTCAACGCAGTTATGAAACCATCACAGCACATGAAATGAGCACGCTAACACAGAATTGTCTAAGTGACCCGTGCTCTTTACTTAGGAAAAGGAGGAGGAGCAGTTAGCGCCTAGCATGTCTGACAGTACTGACACTGCACACCTATCAGTGATGTGTCAGGTCCATGTGCACAGCAGGTGTGCAGCTGCCCGGAGCCTGTGTGCGCACAGGCCCACAGCATGCATGCCAGATGGTCTGTGCTTCAAGCAGTCCTCTCTCTGCTGAACGTCACCACTGTGACTTCAGGCAACAGGACTCATGCCTGCGGGGAGGATGACCAAGGCCTAGCACATCTTGTTTGCCTTTGCTTTTAAAGTACACAATACAGCAGAGACCCCTATCACAACCCGCGGTAAAACAGCATTTTAGTCACGTATGGAAACTTGCCTGCTTCTTGGAGGGTACTGTCTGAGTGAAGTCAGAGGAGATGTTGCGGGTTTGAAGGTTGGAGATGTGAACCCATTTATAAATCCAGCATTTGGAAATGGAGTCACCTAGGTTCATTAAAAACAGACAAGTCAACAAACCATACTGTTCCAGTTGGTGACCACTGCCTATCACAGCAAGCCCAGGAGGAAGCGGCTCACATAGAAGAGGGAAACGCCAGCCCCAGACCCACGCACTTCTAGAGGTCCAGGAGCTCAGCCTGCTGCACTGTAAACCAGCCCACCTTTATTCCCGAGGCCTAGTGAGAGTCCTCAGAGCGCTAGGGCACTGGAAACTGTTCACCCCGATGCATAAAAGGGAAACCTCGTACCTAAAAGAGGCACACTACTCAGAAGTGTGTCAATCGTGGCAGAACTAGGTTCTACGTGTACTTTTAAATGAAACTCTGCTCGGGTCTAAGGCACCTGGCTGCTAACAATGATTTAACAGAACTCGCTGAGACTAAGGGGCACCATTATCTCATCACGTCTGCTCGAAACGATGCATGTGTTTTAGAACAAGCAAAAGGGCTTCACACACCAGACCAGGAACTGCCCCCAATGGCCAGACACCTGACACAGGGTCCCAATGGACACTACTCTGGACAGGAACAGGTATTATTAGAGAAATTAGAAAAGCAACTCAATTCAAGAACTAAGCACAAGTATGGCAGTTAGCCCCCTCTGGACAAACGTGAGTTTATGTGCTCTTTCTACGGTTCTCCCATGATGCATTAAATATATGGCTACTGGTACACTTTTATAGAAGGTAGTAAATACTTCAAAAAAGCAGTACATTTTCTTATCACTAGGATTCACTCAAAAACACGGACACAACTTTGCATGTCAGCACATGTCCGCACCGTCCTTTCACAGAGTGACTCCAGACTTCTGAGGGCTCTGCGCCATGAGGACCTCTCCTGACTCGTCTCTCCCCAGCTGCCCTTCCTGTGTCACACGAGCCACAGAAGCAAGTCCACACATCTCAGGGCACATTTAAGGACCAGCAGACAAAGCTTGCCAACCTTCTCTGCCAGCCACTGTGTTAGATCAGAACACTCACCCACCAAGGCCAGCCCAGGCGCCTCTGCACATATCGCTTACCACCCACACATGCAGCTTCCTCCCCTTCCAGCCTCTCTGACTCGCTCCACTTAGGTGACGACACAACCCCCAATAAACCCCTAATTGTAACTTTCATGGTACTGTCTGTGTCCCATTTTTGCAATATCACCCGCTTGACACACTTATCTTCTCCAGACTACTTCTTCATGGACACACACTTTCACATTCCAGTGTGTAGCAGGCACCTACATCCAGCTGAGCCAATGCGCCTTCTCGCAGGCTCACCCTCTTCAGTTACCAAGAGCCTCAGGTATGTCCCCCACACAGCTGATGGGCCGTCCCAACCTTCCCTGATGTGATCCACAGCCATATCCTCCAGGTTTCTAACTCGATTTCTGCTTTCTGATCACAACCTTCCACACACTCCACCCTTCCGTCAGTACAGTTTCAACTAAAGCTGCTGGCAACCTGCAAACCTCCGGTCCACCAGCCCTCACCTTCCCAGGCGGAGCCTAATGGCTACTTCTTTTCCTGCTGTAGATTAGCCCTGATTCTCACACCCATTCCACCCAACTCACACCGGGGCCTGTTGCTTGAAGCCAATTTCTATTAACATGCCCTGCCCCC